CATATTGACAAAAGTACTTTTTTCAAAATTGTTTGAAGCAGTTTTATTCAAAATAGACACAAACCTGAAAAAACTCAAATTCATCAATGAGCAAATGGATAAGCAATCATAATGAAGTACTACTCAATAGTGAAATTAAAGAACCGTGGATACATGTAAACACATGAGCTAGTTGGAGAATATTATATTGAATGATATGTAAACTTTTTAAAATGATTTATTTATTTATTTGAAAGGCAGAGAGAGAAAGAGAGAGAGAGAGAGAGGTCTTCTATCTGCTGGTTCACTCCCCAGTTGGCCCCTCAACAGCTGGAGCTGTGTGGATCCGAAGCCAGGAGCCAGGAGCCAGGAGCCAGGAGCCAGGAGCCAGGAGTTTGTTCCAGGTATCCCACATGGGTGCAAGGGCCCAAGGACTTGAGACATCCTCTACTGCTTTCCCAGGCCATTGCAAACAGCTGGATCAGATGTGGAGCAGCGGGAACTCGAGTCAGTGCCTATATGGGATGCCAGCACTTCAGGCAGCAGCTTTACATGTGATGACACAGCTCCCGTCCCAATATGTCAATTTCAAAAGTGTTTGTTGGTACATTTTGTAACATAATTTTATAACATGCAAAATTTATCTTTGGTAAAAAATAAACTAACTACAAAAAGAAAAACCAGAACAATTGCTGCCTCTGATCAAGAGTTTTGGGAGGAACAAGTGCAAGGGACATTTAGGAACTTTCTGTAACGGTATCAATGATCTTATAATAGATTTGGCCATTACACCACTGAGTGAATTATTATCATTTTTTTAACAGGCAGAGTGGATAGTGAGAGAGAGAGACAGAGAGAAAGGTCTTCCTTTTGCTGTTGGTTCACCCTCCAATGTCCGCCACGGCTGGCGCGCTGTGGCTGGCGCACCGCACTGATCCAATGGCAGGAGCAAGGTACTTATCCTGGTCTCCCATGGGGTGCAGGGCCCAAGCACTTGGGCCATCCTCCACTGCCTTCCCAGGCCACAGCAGAGAGCTGGCCTGGAAGAGGGGCAACCGGGACAGAATCCGGCGCCCCGACCGGGACTAGAACCCGGTGTACCGGCGCCGCTAGGTGGAGGATTAGCCTGTTGAGCCGCGGTACCGGCCAAGTGTATTTTTTTGTCAAAATGTATTGAACCTTTACATTTAAGGTTTGTATAATTTATTGTATGAAACTTATACTTCAATTTAAAATAGAGGTACATTTGAGATAATTCGATTCTTTGTCTTTTTGTTGTTATATCAGACTAAGATTGGGTTTACTTTTATGCCTGTGATTTGAAATATATAAGCTAAATAGAATACCATAATTTTATGCAAGTTTGTTTTAATTATATTGTACTGTATAAACTGACTTATTTAAAGTCTTAGGCATGTCTAATAGACATAAAAACAAAGTCTATTGACCCATCTAATGAGAGGATAGCAAACAGCTGACTTACAACACAAATTTAGATGGCAGTGTGTTACAGCCTTGGCATAAGCTCAAATAAAATAATGTTACACCCTGCAAAATGGTCAGAGCCTTGTGGGTTGTGTTAGAAAATGTGTCACTCAACAAGGGCTTTGCAAAATTGTCAAGGGTCAGAGTTCTGGCATTTTCATTTCAGATCACTTTAGCAATTTTTACTTATAGGTTCTGCTTCAACAAATACAACTACCCTTTCCTTTGGTATAGACTTAAAGGAGTAATTTGATCTGAGAATTTTGCCAGAGAAGAGAAGAGAAAGGTACAGAGAAATAGACTTTGTAAAGAAAATTTTTAAAAGTCTACAATAAAAGAAAAAAAAAAAAAACACTGAACCCAAGTTCAGGTTGGTGTCACTAGGCAGGCATAGCTATCATATATCCCTCACCATGACATGACAAACCACACAAATGTGTTTCATTGCTGCACCATTATTGGGACAGTAGTTTTGCCCACTCTTTAGTCTCCAAGTGTTTCCATTATAGCTCACTATTTTTAGGAGCTAATAGACAGGGCTATAATAATTTGCTTCAGGCTGGCATACCAGGTCTCAGTCAGAGAGCCATTTAGAATAATAGAGCATTGCCTGTTTCAGATGCTTTTAGTGTGTATGTATGTCTGTTTGTTCATATAATCTAAAAATGTTTGCTGTTGCAAAAAATTACATTTGATAATAGATTGGTTTCTAATATGATACAGTCATTTTTATTTACCTACACCAAACACTAGAAAAAAGTCAAGTCACTGAAAAATGTCTTTTTGAAGAGGAAATGTGTTAATTCATATTCATTTCCATTAATTCTAGTACCTAGTGGGTGTTTAATAAGTGTTCACTGACAAGAGCAAAACAGCAGTTCTATTTATTACACATGGCATTGTCTTCAGCCTTCTATAAATGTGCTTCTGTAAATGTGATTTATTCTAAAAACAGTGAGTTAAAATAACTGTAATATTCTAAACAATGTTTATGTCATGCTAAGCATATCTTGGATGTTAATCTCAAGAAATAAAATTTCATGTGTTTCATGGAGTTACAATTGGTTTTAAGAGATCTTCTTTCTCAGAAGACATGAAATACTTGTATACGTAGTTTTAAAGGTATTTTATTGAGTATTGATGGTTTTTGGAACTTGATGACACCCAAACAAACTGCTTTGTAGGGGCTGGTGCTATGCCACAGTAGTCTAAGCCTCACCTGTGGTGTTGGTTCATGTACTGGCTGCTCCTTTTCCATCCCACCTCTTGGATATGGCCTGGGAAAGCAATGGAAGAGGGCCCAAATGCTTGAGCCCCTGCACCTCTGTGGGAGACCTGGCAGAAACTCCTGGCTCTTGGCTTTGGATCAGCCCAGCTCTGGCCATTGAGGCCATCTGGAGAGTGAACCAGCAGGTGAAAGACCTTTCTGTCTCTCCCTCTCTTTGTCTGTAACTCTACCTCTCACATAAATAAGTAAGTAAACAAGTTAAGTAAGTAAGTAAATAAATAACTGCTTTGTAGTCAGACAGTCTTCCTATGTGGAACTGCTTATATAACCCTATGGGAAAGTGTGCAATGTTGAGGATAGGCCTCAGGCTTAGTATCTCTTGACGGCATAAAGATGAATGAAACACTGTGGAATGGGGCTGATGATAATCCATGCTACTTAGAAGCAAGTACTGCATGCTTGCCACTGGTTGTACTTTTGTTTTTCTTTCTCTTTCTTTTAAATCCACCTGAGGGGCAGAGAGACAGAGGCAGATAGAAAGATCTCCTAGGAGCTGATCCACTCCCCAAATGCCTACAATGGGTGAGGCTGCACTGGGGCTGAAATAAGGATCCAGGAACTCAATCCAGCTATCTCACAAGGGTGGCTGGGGCTTGACCACTTTAGCCATCACTTGTTGCCTCCCAGAGTCTGCCTTTGCAGGAGGGTGGAATTGGCAGCTCAAGCTCGGTTTAAAATCCAGGTTCTCTGAGAGGCGATGTGGGCTTCAGCATGAAGTCAAATGTTCACTCCACATTATTCTTAAAGTTAACAACAACTATGTATTGCAGATATAAGTTTCCCTAGGAATATGACCTTCAGTCACCTAAATGCCTTGCCCAAGATCAATCATATAGTAAAGGAATTTTAATTTGCCATCAGGGGAAGCATGAAAAATTAGTGAAATAAGAAATTAAGATCTTCTCATGCAATGTATTTCTAGAGAAATAAATGTGAAGAACATCTTTCTGAAAGACTGGGCCCTGACACTAAGGGCAAATCAAAGCCTATCATGCCTAAGACCCAGATTTATATTCATCCAAACTGCAGAAAGACATATCAGAGTCCTTAGATATGATCCCTTACGTCTCTGGCTCAAGACAGAAGTGAAATGCATATTGTTAAAAATAATTGATGCTTTTGGGGTTTTTAAAATAAATTTTTATTTATGTGTGTGTGTGTGTGTGTGTGTGAGAGAGAGAGAGAGAGAGAGAGAGAGAGAGAAATATGAATCTTTCATCAGAAGTTCATTCACCAAGTGACTGCAATATGTAGGTTTGGGTCAGGCTCAGCCCAGGAACCAGGAACTCAATTTTGTGTGTTCTCAGACATAAGTAGCAAGTGCAGGGAGTTGGACCTGAAGCAGAGCACCTGAGACTTGAACTGGTAGTACCACATGGAAAGCATTGTACGTGGCAGGCTAACCCACTGTGTCACAATGCGAGCCTCAGCATTTTAGTTCTTAGCTTGTCTTTCCAGCACTGTTAGTCACAGGCGATCATTCCTTCTTCTGGAAAGCTTTCATCTTTGACTTGGATGATGCAACACCAGGCAGTTTCTCCTTTTGCCTCCTTGCCATTTGTCCTTCCACTTCTTCCATATTAGAGTTTTCCAAAACAATCTTTCCTTGTCACTTTTATTCCCCCTCATGGAGGCCTAATCTTCCAGCATTGTCTCCTACTCCCTTAGAGCTGTATTTATCTGGAGTTCTTTCATTTCTCCTACATGCCAAAGTTTTTCTCCATTGTTCTGGGAATTTCTTCTTCTCCTTCTTCTTTGTACTGTTTGGAAATTACTGAAAATAATTTCATGCAGAATATCTTTAAATTTTTTTTGCCATATCTGTGTATGGCTACTATTATTTTCCTCTAATGCACTACTTTTCTTCAAATCATTCACTTTTGTAAACTAAAGACTATGTGTTAGAAAAAGAAATACAACACCATTTTAATGAGTTAAAACAAGCCATAATTATGTGTCATAACTAATAGAAATAATAATTCATGTCATCTTATACTCAACTGACATTTGGGAACAATGACCTAGTTAATTTCTTTGATTCTCTCTCTCTTTCTTTCTCTTTAGACATGACTCAAATTATCACTCTGTTGAGGAAACTTTGCTCAATAACTTCTTCCCCTGACTAGGTGAAGGTACCTTATTCTATATTTGAATAATTTTGTGTCTTTTTTCCTCCTCTATAGAACTTAAGAAGTTATCTGTTAAATAATTGTGTAGTAATTTTTTAATGTCTGTTTTTCCCTTTTAGAATGTAAACTTGAGACTACACCCAGACACCAGCTGAGTTATCAGCTATGTTCCCAGAGCCTTGGTAAGTGTTTTATATAGTATATCCTTAATGTCTATATGCCTATGTACTGAAAGAATAAAATACTGCAGTAACTTGCATATTAAAATAAAAATCAGGGGCCGGCGCCGTGGCTCACTTGGTTAATCCTCCACCTGTGGTGCTCGCATCCCATATGGGCGCCGGTTCTAGTCCCGGTTGCTCCTCTTCCAGTCCAGCTCTCTGCTGTGGCCCGGGAAGGCAGTGGAGGATTGCCCAGGTGGGGCCCTGCACCCACGTGGGAGACCAGGAAGAGGGACCAGGCTCCTGGCTTCAGATCGGTGCAGCACTGGTTGTAGCGGCCATTGGGGGAGTGAACCAACGGAAGGAAGACCTTTTTCTCTGTCTCTCTCTCACTAACTCTATCTGTAAAATAAAAAAAAAAAAAGTAAAAATCAGTGATCATTACCACATGCTAAGAACTGAGGCTGGAAGTGTTCAAGTTGCCCATGCCTAGAAGTTGGGGCTTGGATATAAAAGCATTGACAGTAAAATATCAGGAGCACTATAACTGAGGTGAGGGCTGTATACTGTGATAGAAAAAAACTTGTTTATGCAGTAAGGAGGCAGCTTTGAGCTGTGTCTTAAGGCCAAGTAGTGTCCTGGGCACCATTGCAGTGAAAGAGAATTCTATGGTAGGTGTGGAAGAATCTGGACATTGCTGAAGCGTCTTATGCTGTAAAATCAGGGCACATGTGGAGTGGAGGAATGGAAGTTAAGACTGAAAAGTAAGCTGGAGTTGGATGATTCAGCATTTTGTATTTCAAGCTATCACGCTTAGCTCGAGTCTATGGGATACAGTAAAATGTTCAAATATTTATGCAGAAGAATTTCAGCATACACTTATGGCCCACCTCCCCTCCAGTCCCTTTTGAGCTGTGAGGATCCAATCTTCTACTAGAACTCTTACAAAGGTTCATATCCCATTTTATATTTTCCATTATTTTAAAAATATTTGTAATATTTTACAGTTGAAATGGAGGGGAATAAATGATGGTCCTTATGATTTACTATTCTCTGAACAACATATATAGTGTTACTAACTTTGAAATTTATTTTATTATTTTATTGTTCTGAAGACTGACTAAATATAATGTTACAAAAATGAAAGAATTTGTGTAAGGACCTAAATGTACTCCTCTGCCCCGCCCCTCAAATTCTTATGGTAAATTGCTAACCCTCAATGTGACTGTACTTGTAGATAGGAACTTTAATGAAGTAATTAAAGTTAAATGAATTCATAAGGGTGGGGCTCTAATCCAGTATGACTGGTAACTTTATAGATGGAGGAGGAGACACCAGGGAGGTGTGTGCACAGAAAAAATGCAGAGAGCATATAACCAGAAGACCACTCATCTGCAAGCCAAGGTGAGAGGTCTCCTGAGAAGCCAGGATGTTCACACCTTGATTGGATTTCCAGTGTAAGAAAATATGTTTCTGTTTTTTAAACCACTCAGTTTGGATATTTGTCTTGACCACCGTAGCAAATTGGAATATCTTTAGTTTTAAACAGGACAGTCAAGAGATTCGAGAGACAGTTAAGAGAGAAAAGAGATGGAGAGAAAGAGAGGATGAATGTGAATGAGTCTGTGTACACCAGAAGTGGGGCAGGGCTCAGGGTGATAAAATTAACTAATTCAAATGACACTAGTTGGAAAATTAAGATACAGTAGAAGAAAATAGATATGACATATCTACAATTTTGTTCAAGCTGATGGTTTAGTTGGCAATTATTCTTCACTAAAGCAAACCTTTCCTCAGGGCAATTCATAGCTTTGAATAATTTCTATATGGTATTAATTGAAAATATGAAAATTAAAATTCTTAAAGTATGTTTTATAATTCAGAATATCCATCAGTAAAAATGTCTCATTTCCATTTTTCATTGAGTTTTCTTCCCACATATCCAAATATTATAGCCGAAAACAGCCGTCCAAACTTCCTACAAAAACCAAATTAATGGAAGAATAGGATCTCGTTGTTCTGCATGTTATTCTTTAGTGAAGGAATAACCCTCTGCTTTCTTTTCAACTGTTTATGTTATCTAGAACAGACCAGTAGAAAAAAGGATGAAAATAAGTGTCAAATTCCACAAGTTATTTTTCAAGAGAACACTGTGAAATCACTATCCAGGTTGAAAATGCAATACTTCCCTCAACCCTCTCTGCATTTTCCTGAGGGTATGATTACCCACACTTCTTTTTTTCTTTATAGTAATTCCATCTAGAATGAAACCCTAAATGATGAGGTTTAGGTTATCCTGGCTTGAAGCTTTTATCAAATTATTTATGACTGTTTAACTCATATCCATTGTTAATAGATTCATAAATTTTGCATTTTCATTCAGGCATGCTTTACCTCCAAATGAATAACCTAAATGTATTTATTCATTCTGCTATTGATAACCATTTGGACTATTTTTAGTATGAAGCTGAAAAGAACAACATTATTAAAGCAATCTTATGTACATATCCAGGTGCACACGTGAATGAATTTTCTGTAGAATCACACCTAGAATTGTTAGGTCGCATAAAGTGCATCAACAGTTTCACAGGAATAGTCCAAAATTGTTTCCCACGCGAACGTTCGAAACTACAGCCCCAAATGTGTATATAAGAAATCTATTCCTTCATTTCTTTGCCAACATTTGCTACAGTTAGTTTTTCCCCACTCCTGGTGAGTATATAGTTGTTTCTTCCACTATGTATTTAATTTATGTTTTTCTGATTATAAATAAGCTTTAATATCTTATAATGTTTGTTGTTTATTTGCATTTTGTCTTTTGATAAAGAGCCTTTTCAAGTCATTGGCTTATTTTTCTATTAGGTTTTCAGTATTATTGATTATGGAAATTTTCATATATTTTGGATATAAATTCATGTGTAAAGGTTGTTTCACTGTGGTCTTTTGAAAACTTTATTGTCTTTTTACATCTTTATTTTAGAAATTAGAAACATATTCAGAAGTGTGACATATATGGTGAATAAATTGTGAACTCTTGTCAGGCTGATTTCATTTATGCCTCTGTCCAATTCTGAGAATTCAGGATCATTTATTTATTTATTTATTTGAAAGGCAGAATTACAGAAAGGCTGAGGCAGAGACAGAGAGAGAGAAAGACAGACAGACAGAGGTCTTCTACCCGCTGGTTCACTCCCCAGATGACCACAATGTCTGGAGCTGTGTTGATTCAAAGCCGGGAGCCAGGAGCTTCATTGGAGTCTCCCACATGAGTGCAGGGGCCCAAGGACTTGGGAGATCTTCCTCTGCTTTCTCAGGCCATAGCACAGAGCTGGATTGGAAGTGGAGTTGCTAGGACTTGAACTGGTGTCCATATGGGATGCTGGCACTTCAGGCAGTGGCTTTACCTGCTACACCACAGTTCCGGCCCCTCAGTTTCATTTAAATATAGTTTGTCATTACATAATTTCATTCATAAATATTTCACTATATATCTCTAGAATATAAACTATTTTAAAAATACTATCATAGAAGCTGATGTTGGGACCCAGTGGTTTAGGCTTGCACTTATGATGCTAGCATCCCAACTCAAACTGCCAAATTAAAAAAAAAAAAAAAAAAACTCTGCTTTTTTTTTTTTAAATTGAAGCTCCAAGATGGCTGATAGGAAAAAGATGTGCTGATTTTGACCAGGAGAAGATAACAGAAGAAAAGTAGAGGAAGACTTAGAGAGAAGTTTGCGGTATAAATTCTACAGAAAGAAGAAAGATACCATAGAGCACCATGGACAGGAAGAACACTCAATACTGAGTGGGGAACAACCCATGATTCCCACAGCCAGGGGCTGGAGGAGAGTCCACCTTCTGGGAGCAAGGTGAGAGCAGACTGCGAAAGCATGTGTCACTAGTGATATTTCCTGAGGGAGAACCAGACAGACCACACTGACTTCGAGTCTGGCCTAGAGTGTTAGTGGGAGGGTAAGGTGCCCGTCTAAACCTGTAAACAGAGAGCACAGTTCTTTCTCATTATTCCAAAAAGAAAGAAACTGTCAAACAATAATACTGTACCCAAAAAAGCTCTCATTTATAAATGAAGGTGAAGTAAAGACCATCCAAAGCAAACAGAAATCGAAGGAATTGTCACTTTTCCAGTCTTACAAATGATACTTAAGCATGTGTTACACACAGAAACAAAAACACGTAGTCATAATTGTGAAATAATGTGAAGGCAGAATATGTCCTAGTAAAAGTACAAAGGATATCCAAAGCAATGATTATGGATATTTATGTAAAAATAGCAGGGCCAAGTCATTACTTATCAATAATAACCTTGAAAGTAAATGGCCTAAATTCTACAATTAAAAAATTAAGATTGGCTGAATGGATTAAAAGACAAGACCCATATATTTGCTGCCTACAAGAAACACACCTCACCAACAAAAATACATGCAGACTTAAGGTGAAAGTGTGGAAAAGATATTCCATACTAATTGACATAAAAATGAATAGGTGTGGCCATCCTAATATCAGAAAAAAAGGACTTTATCACAAAAAATGTTAAAAGAGAAAAAGAAGGCCGGCACCGTGGCTCAATAGGCTAATCCTCCACCTAGCGTCGCCGGCACACTGGGTTCTAGTCCCGGTTGGGGTGCTGGATTATGTCCCCGTTGCCCATCTTCCAGCCCAGCTCTCTGCTATGGCCCGGGAGTGCAGTGGAGGATGGCCCAAGTCCTTGGGCCCTGCACCCACATGGGAGACCAGGAGAAGCACCTGGCTCCTGGCTTACGGATCAGCGCGATGCACAGGCCGCAGCGCACCAGCCGCAGCAGCCATTGGAGGGTGAACCAACGGCAAAAAGGAAGACCTTTCTCTCTGTCTCTCTCTCTCTGTCCACTCTGCCTGTCAAAAAAAAAAAAAAAAACTAAAAAAAAGAAAAAAAGAAGGGCATTATGTAATGATAAAGGGATCCATTCAACAGGAAAATGTGACTACAATAAAGGCATAGACACCCAATGCTAGGGTATGTGGCTATTTAAAACAAATATGGTTCTGAAGAGAGACTACACTCCAATACAATGGTAATGGGGGACTTTAAAATCCACTTTCATCAATGGACATCAGCTAAGCAGAAAATCAACAAAGCAATAGAGCTAATCTGTATTATGGACCAAGTGGACCTAATTGATATCTACAGAACTTCTAATCCTACAGTTGCATAATACACATTCTTTTCATCCGTGCATTGAACTTTCTCTAGGATAGTCCATAAAGTAAGTCTCAGCAAATTCAATCCAATTGAAATCATAGTATGTATCTTCTCTGACTAGCTAGAAATTAACATCTTGAGAAATTCTATAAAATAGTCAAACACATGGAGACTGAACAACACAGACCTAAATGAACAATAAGTTATAGAAGAAATGAAAAGGTAAATACAAATATCCTAAGAAAAAAATGAAGATTGCAACATAATGTATCAACACTTATGGAATACAGCAAAAGTAGTGCTAGGAGTGAAGTTTATACCAATGAGTAGCTATATTAAGAAGTTAGAAAGGCATCAAGTATAGGATTGAACAATTAATCTCAAGGACCTAGAAAAATAGGAACCAACCAAACACAAAGAAAAAGGAGGACAGAAATAATTAAAATTAGAGAAAAAAATGAACAAAATTGAAACAAATGAAACAGATCAGTGAAATGAATACATATTTTTTTGCAAAAATAAATAAAATTGAATATGCCATTGGCCCAACTAACCAAATAAAAGAAGGAGAAGACCCAAGTTAATAAAATTGAAGAAGAAAAAGCAGATGTAATAACAGGAGATATAATAAGAAATACCACAGAAGAGAAGAAAAAATCTATGTAAAAACAGGAGATAGAACAACAGATTTGGCAGAAATAAAAAATAATCATCAGGAATTACTACAAACAGCTATAAGCCAACAAATTGGAAAATCTAGAGGAAATAGATTTCTGGACACATATGATCTACCAAATTTGATTCATAAAGACATAGAAAACCTGAAACACCAATAACCAAGATAGAGATTGATTCAGTAATAAAGACTCTTCTCAATAAAGAAAAGCCCAAGACTGGATAGCTTCAATGCTGAATTCTACCAAACTTTTAAAGAACTAATTCTAATTCTTCTCAAACTACTCAAAACAATAGAAAGGGAGGGAATCCTCTCAAACTCATTCTATGAGGCTAGCATCACCTCAATTCCAAAAAGATACAACAAAGAAAAAGAATTATATACCAATAAACCTGATGAACATAGATGCAAAAATCCTGAACAAAATACTAGCTAGTCAAATCCAACAACATATCAGGAAGATAATTCATCCAGACCAAGTGGGATGCATTCCAGGTATGCAGGGATTGATCAATATATGCATTTCAATAAATGTGATATATCACATTAGCAAACTGAAGAAAAAATCATATTATTATCTCAATAGATGCAGAGAATGCATTTGATAAAATAATACAACATCCTTTCATAATAAAAACTTTAAGCAAACTGGGTATAGAAGGAACATTCCTCAACACAATCAAGGCAATCTATGACAAATTCATAGCCATCATCATGTTTATGGGTAAAAGTTGGAAGCATTTCCACTAAGACCCAGAACCAGAAAAAAATGCCCACTCTCATCATTGCTGTCCAATACAGTTCTGGAAGCTTTAGCCAGAGCCATTAGGTAAGAAAAAGAAATATATGGATACAAATCAGAAATAAGGAGGTCAAATAGTGCCTGTTTGCATTTGACATAATTCTATATATAGGGGATCCAAAAGACTCAACCAAGAGACTGTTAGAACTCATAAGAGAGTTTGGTAAAGTTGCAAGATATAAAATCAACACACAAAAATCAATAGCCTTTGTATAAAAGAGAATGCCTTGGCTGAGAAAGAACTTCGAAGATCAATCCCATTCACAATAGCTACCAAAAATTTAAATACCTTGGGATAAATTTGACCAAGTATGTGAAAATCTCTACAATGAATAATACAAAATGTTAAAGAAAGAAATAGAAAAAGCCACAAAAAATGAAAAATTCTTTTGTGTTCATATACTGGAAGAAGTAATACAATCAAAATATCCATACTACCAAAAGCAATTTATAGATTCACTGTGATCCAAAGCAAAACACTGACAACATTATTCTCAGATCTAGAAACAATAATGCTAAAATTCATATGGAAACACCAGAGACCTCAAAATAGCTAAAGCAATGTTATTCAACAAAAACTAAGCTGGAGGCATCACAATACCAGATTTCAAGACATGCTTAAAAGCATCATTATCAAAACAGTCTAGTACTGCCACAAATATAGACATATAGATCAGTGGAATGGATTAGAAACACAGAAAATAATCTACATTTCTACACCAACTAATCTTTTCCAAATCAGTAAAATCAGTCCCTGGAGAAAGGACGGTATGGTGCTGGCAATTGTATCTACATGTGCAGAGGTATGAAACAAGAACCCTATCTTAACTCTTATACAAAGAGCAACTCAATATGGACCAAGAATGAACATCTATGATCTGATACCATTAAATTATTAGAGGAAACCACGGGGGAAATTCTGCAAGACATTGGCAAAGACTTCTTAGAAAAGACCTCTGAGGCACAGACAGTGAAGACAAAAACAGGCAAAAGGGATTACATCAAGCTAAGAAGCTTCTGCACCACAAGGGAAACACTCAACAAAGTGAAGAAACGAGCGACAGAATGGTGTAAAATATTTGCAAACCATGCAACTGCTATTGGATTAATATTCAGAATCTATAAAGAGCTCAAGAAACTCAACAATGAGATAAACCATCCAGTTAAGAAATTGGCAAAGGAAATGAACAGGCATTTTTCAAAGTATGAAATTCAAATGGCCAACAGACACATGAAAAAATTGCTCAGGATCACTAGCTGTGAGGAAAATGTAAATCAAAACCACAATGCAAATTACAACCTCACCCTAGTTAGAATGTTATTATCCAAAAATCAGAAAATAACAAATGCTCTAGAGGATTTGGGGACAAGGTACACTAATGCAGTGTTGGTGGGAATGTAAACTAGTTCAAGCATTACGGAAGACAATATGGAGATTCTTCAGAGATATGAAAATAGATCTACTATATGACCCAGCAATTCCACTCCTCGGAATGTACTCAAATGAAAATAAATCAGCGTATGAAAGAGTTATCTGTACCCCCACATTTATTGAAGCTTAATTCACATTAGCTAAGATATGAAATCAACCCAGATGTCCATCAACTGAGTACTGGATAAAGAAATTGTGGTATATATACACTATGAAATATTACTCAGCCATAAACAATGAACAAAATCCTGTCTTTTGCAACAAAATGGATATAGCTGGAAACCATTATGTTTGTGAAATAAGCCAGTCTCCAAATGACAAATACCATGTTTTCTCTGATATTTGTCTGCTAACATAGAATACAAAAAATGTAGAAAAATGAAATGAATATTTTGATATGATTACCATTTTTAGCCCTTGTTTATCCTCCTTTGGAATATGGTCTTCCTACTTTTTACTTGTTGAATATTATTGTTAGTGGTGAATCAAGCTTGTGAACATAGAATGGATTAAAATTCTGTCTTTCCAAAAACTGATGAACGGAGGGGAGGGAGGGTGTGAGTGGTGGTAGGGGGAAAGGGGAGTGAGGGAAATGTGGTTTTTTTTTGGAACTGTGCCAATTGAATGCATGAAATCTCTCTTTATATTAATAAAAAATTAAAACTGGCAATCTAGGGCATGTGGTAGAGAAGTACAGTCTTGAAAAATCGGGTGCTGTGCACTTGACTAATTTCAGGAATGAGCTAGTAAATATTAATGATTTATAAAAATTGAAGTTATAACATTTTAAATTTCAATCTATATATTTAATATTTAGTCATTGAGAATATGCTAAAGGTATTGAAATGTTATTGTTTTTAAAGAATATGTCATTGTATACCCATTGGAATAAAACTACATTTTAGGAGACACAGGAGACCTCGAATAGCTAAAGCAATCTTGTACAACAAAAACAAAGCTGGAGGCATCACAATACCAGATTTCAGGACATACTACAGGGCACTTGTAATCAAAACAGCATGGTACTGGTACAGAAACAGATGGATAGACCAATGGAACAGAATTGAAACACCAGAAATCAATCAAAACATCTACAGCCAACTTATATTTGATCAAGGGTCCAAAACCAATCCCTGGAGTAAGGACAGTCCATTCAATAAATGGTGCTGGGAAACTTGGATTGCCACATGCAGAATCATGAAGCAAGACCCCTACCTTTCACCTTACACAAAAATCCACTCAACATGGATTAAATACTTAAATCTACGACCTGACACCGTCAAATTATTAGAGAGCATTGGAAAAACCCTGCAAGATATAGGTACCGGCAATGAATTCTTGGAAAACACCCCAGAAGCACAGGCAGTCAAAGCCAAAATTAACTATTGGGATTGCATCAAATTGAGAAGTTTCTGTACTGCAAAAGAAACAGTCAGGAAAATGAAGAGACAACCGACAGAATGGGAAAAAAAATATTTGCAAACTATGCAACAGATAAAGGGTTAATAACAAGAATCTACAAAGAGATCAAGAAACTCCACAAAAACAAAACCAACAACCCACTTAAGAGATGGGCCAAGGAACTCAATAGACATTTTTCAAAAGAGGAAATCCAAATGGCCAACAGACACATCAAAAAATGTTCAAGATCACTAGCAATCAGGGAAATGCAAATCAAAACCACAATGAGGTTTCACCTCACCCCAGTTAGAATGGCTCACATTCAGAAATCTACCAACAATAGATGCTGGAGAGGATGTGGGGAAAAAGGGACACTAACCCACTGTTGGTGGGAATGCAAATTGGTTAAGCCACTATGGAAGTCAGTTTGGAGATTCCTCAGAAACCTGAATATAACCCTACCATTCAACCCAGCTATCCCACTCCTTGGAATTTCCCCAAAGGAATTTAAATTGTCAAACAAACAAGCTGTCTGCACATTAATGTTTATTGCAGCTCAATTCACAATAGCTAAGACCTGGAACCAACCCAAATGCCCATCAACAGTAGACTGGATAAAGAAATTATGGGACATGTACTCTATCGAATACTATACAGCAGTCAAAAACAATGAAACCTGGTCATTTGCAACAAGATGGAGGAATTTGGAAAACATCATGCTGAGTGAATTAAGCCAGTCCCAAAGGGACAAATATCATATGTTCTCCCTGATCAGCGACAACTAACTGAGCACCAAAGGGGAAACTTATTGAAATGAAATGGACACTATGAGAAACAGTGACTTGATCAGCTCTTGTCCTGACGGTTGATGTACAATGTAATACTTTATCCATTTTAGTATTTTTTTTGTTCTAGTACCGTTGGTTGACTCTGTAATTAACACACAATTATTCTTAGGTGTTTAAATTTTAACTGAAAAGTGATCCCTGTTAGGAATTTGGAAAACATTATGCTGAGTGAAATAAGCCAATCCCAAAGGGACAAATACCACTTGTTCTCCTTGATAGGTGCAACTAACTGATCACCAAAAAGGAAACCTGTTAAAGTGAAATGAACACTATGAGAAACGGTGACTTGATCAGCCCTCACCCTGACTGTTGATGAGCAGCTTAATATGTTATCTCTCTTAGTATTTTTTTTGTTTGTTCTACTTAATACTTTTGGTTGAATACTGTAATCAATACACAATTCTTCTTAAGTGCTGAAACTTAACTGAAAAGTGATTGCTGTTAAATATAAGAGTGGGAATAAGAGTGGGAAGAGATGTGCAATTCGGGACATGCTCAAGCTGACTTACCTCAAACAGTAGAGTTAGAAACATACCAGGGGATTTGAATTCAATCCCATCGAGGTGGCATGTACCAATGCCATCTCACTAGTCCCAGTGATCAATTTCTGTTCACAATTGATCATAATGATAGGACTAAGAACCAAAGGGATCACATAAACAAGACTAGTGTCTGCAAATACTAGCTGATAGAATCAAAATGGGAGAGAATGATCCAACATGGGAAGTGAGATACACAGCAGACCCATAGAATGGCAGATGTCCTAAACAGCACTCTGGCCTCATAATCAGCCCTTAAGGCATGCGGATCCGGCTGAAAAGCCCATGAGAGTATTTCAGGCATGGAAAGCCAAGACACTCTGGGAAAAAAAAAAAAAAAAAAAACTAAATGAAGGATCTCCGCGAGTGAGATCCCATTGGAAATAACGGGTCATCAAAGAAGGAGGGACCTTTCTCTGAAGGGAGGAGAGAACTTCCACTTTGACCATGGCCTTGTCTAAATATGATCAGAGTCAGTGAACTCAGGGGGCTTCCATAGCCTTGGCAGCTCATGACAAGAGCCTAGGGTGATTACTGATGCCATAAATAAGAGTGTCAATTTGTTAAGTCAACAACAGGAGTCACTGTGCACTTACTCCTCATGTAGGATCTTTGCCCTTAGTGTGATGTACATTGATATTTAATGCTATAAGTAGTACTCAAACAGTATTTTTCACTTTATGTTTCTGTGTGGGAGCAAACTGTTGAAATCTTTACTTAATGTATGCTAAACTGATCTTCTGTATATAAAGAGAATCGAAAATGAATCTTGATGTGAATGGAAGGGGAGAGGGAGTGGGAAAGGGGAGGGTTGTGGGTGGGAGGGACGTTATGGGGGGGAAGCCATTGTAATTCATAAGCTTTACTTTGGAAATCTATATTCATTAAATAAAAGTTTAAAAAATGTAAAAAAACCTACATTCAGAAGAATTCTAAGAAAGATTTATTCCTTTATTCAAAAGCAGAGTTACAGAGATAGAGCGACACACACATACACACACACACACACAGAGGGAGTGGGAGAGGGTGAAGGGGAGGAAATTGGTCTGCTATCCACTGCTTCACTCTCTAAATAGTCTCTTGCCATTGTTGGGCGAGGCTGATGCCAGGATACTGAAACTCCATCTGGGTCTCCCATGTGGGTGCGGAGGCCATCTTTTGGTGCTTTCTCAGGCGAATTAGCAGGCAGCTGGATCAGAATTAGAGAGTCACAACACTGGCTCCTGTTCCTCTTCCCATCCAGATTCCTGCTAATATGCCTGTGTAGGAAGGAGATGATGACCGAAGTACTTGGACCCCTGGCACTCACATGAGAGACCAGGAGGGAGTTCCTGACTCCTAGCTTCAGCCTGGCTCTGAAGCTGACCTGACCATTGGTGTTATTTGAGGATGAATCAGAGAACAGAAGATCTCTGTCTCTCTCATTCTTCAAATCTAGATTTGTCTTTTTTTAAAAAATATTTATTACTTATTTTATTTAAGAGACAGAGAGAGAGAGAGAGAGAGAGAGAGAGAGAGAGAACATCTGCTGATTCACTACCCAGTTGGCTCCAACGGCTAGGCCTGGGTCAGCCAAAGCTGTGATCCAGGATCTTTTTCTGGATCTTCCAAGTGGGTACCATGGGTCCAAGTACTTGGACCATCTTCCACTGTTTTCCCAGGAACATTAGCAAGGAACTTGATCAGAAGTGGAGTAGCCAGGACTCGAACTGGTGCCCCATGTGCTAGTTCATTCCCCAAATGCCCACAATGGATAAGGCTAGACCAGGGATGGGATGAGGATACAATCCAAGTCTCACAAATGGGTGGTAGAGACCTAATTACTGGTATGATCACCTCTGCTTCTCAGGGTCCATATTAGCAAGAAGCTGGAATCAGGAGCCGGAGCCAGGAATTGAACCCAGCCACTCTGATGTGGAATGTGGGTTGTCTTAACTGGCATTATACTTTCTAAGCTAAATGACTGCATCAATATTATATTTAATGTTCTTTATAAGTTTGGTGATGGGAAGTTAGCCTAGAGGCTGAGTTGCTGAGGGGATGTCATATTGGAGTGCCTGGGTTTAATTTCTGACTCTAGCTTTTGATTCTAGCTTCCTGCTAATGTAGATGCTGGAAAGCATCACTGTTGGATCAGTTTGGTCCCTGCCACCCACATGTGAGACCAGGATTGTGTTTCTGATCTCAGTCGGACCCAATCCTAGCTGTTATGGGCATTGAGGTGTGAACCAGGGAACGGCAGCTCTTTTTCTCTTTCTGTCTCTGTGTGTTCTCTCTCTCTGCCTCTCAGACAACTTGTGGCATACCACAAGATGTTTTAAACTATTTATGTAATAGGAAATAATTAAATAAAGGTAATTAATATATCCATCACTTCACTTACCATATTTTGTGGTGAGACATTGGAAGTTTACTATCTTAGAAATGTACAATACGTTATTATTAACTATAGTCACCCCACTGTGCAAATAATTTTATAATTAGCTTGTCAAGTTACACAGCCAGAAACAGACACACATATGTATACATATACAGAGAGTCAGATTTTGATTATGATTGCTATTTGAAACAATTAGCATTTTTCAATATTGACTTTTCCAATTCATGAAAATGTTGTCTCTAATTTGACATTTTTAAAGGAACAACGTAATTTCTTATTAGAGATCCTGCATAAATTAGATATATATACAGACATTAAATTTTTTGCTGCTAATACAAGTGAAGACTTAAAAATATGTTTTATAACTTTTT